TACTAACTTTAAATTTAATTAATTATGTCTTATTTATTATATATATATATATATATATATATATATATATATTGGAATATATAAATAATTTTCAAAGAATCCTACTTTATTCTCATCTTATAACGTTTCTTAGAATTTTGCGAAATAATTAAATGATTATTAATGTAATACTTTCAGTGTTGACATGATATCGCAAAATGTGTTGTTAATAGACGACGTCAATATTTCTTGCGACAAATTACGTCTTCTTAATATGCAATAAAAATTACAGCAGTTGTCCATACTTTTTTTTTTCTTTTAAAGTCAGTATGTCGACATGCATTTTATTTGCCTTATCATCAATTATTACTAATCTCAGACTAAACTTTTGCAATTATTGCAAAAGTAAACACGTAAGTGCAAGACTAGTTAATTGATATTAACCAATCAATGTTTATATAATTTTTGTTTCACAACGTTTATTACAAAATTTTCAAAATGATGTCTTTGTCAGAGACTGTATCACCCATGAGATAAACGCAAACTGTTATGTAATTGTTACGCGAATAAGCATCATTGAAAATTCTTCATTACGTACAAGTCGGTCAGCATGCTTTCACTCCCGAATTAAATGTGGGACACTAATTATGTAATTTTATTGCCATTAGCCGTGATGCATTGCCACACATCATATTAAAGTGTAATATTATGAAAAATATTCTAATATATTACTTATTTACAAAAGAAAGAAATAATAAAAACACACTTATCCTACTTAATTTTTTCAATCAATTCTGTCCTCGTAAATAAGTCTGTATTTTCTTCTTCTCTTCTCATTCCCTTCCTCTTTCTTTCGCTCTTGTTACAAATAAAAATTAAAGTATCTAAATCAAAGAAGCAACAACAATGTTAACGATACCACTCATTCTTAATTTTGTTAATGAATACAAACCTTCAGAATTTTGTTGATTCAAAAATTCGCCCGTTGGCATTCAACAACCTTGAGTTACACAATATCAGAATCACATTGGCGTGTGTCAACTGCAAGTGATTTATCCTGAAGGGCACCACGTGGCCACAAAGACATTTTAGGCAAAAAATAGGCTAGATCAAGATTGCTTTTTCTCTTTTTTAATAATTCTCCTTTTAACCTTCACATTCAGCAATAATATATTCTACCAACATTTTATAGTCCTCGAATCATTACTTCGTGAAACATCCGTTTGTCATTACTTTCAATTTGTCAGTTAATTATTTTTTTATTTAATACAAATGTTTTCTTTGCAACATAGTTTCTAACTCGACATATTTACTTCATATTTACTAAATGCATGTATTATTATTATTCTATTGACTCAACTATCAATTTACGGACTTATTTTCTCAGAATTTATCTCCCAGTACTAAAAGCCTAATTGAATAAGTAATAATCTATTTCATAATTTATATTCTTCCTACTAAAAACATTTACTGTTCACACATACATAGCATGATATCCGCGTTTTCTCTCATGATTTCTTCATCAATTAGTTCGACACGATGTCGATGAATATCACTCGGCAACGTTATCTCGCTACGATCATAGTTTTTATTCACGTAACTTTTGCAAAGTTTCTCCTGATAAGCAATAACTTAATTTTTCTACAAGGTCTGAAATTCAATAAAAATTAACATTTATTTTCTATAAAATGAATTTTTTATTTCATTACAGAAGAAGAATTTTATTAAAGAATAAGAAAAAAAGAACAAAAAGTTTAAATGCACAAATTTAATACGCAATAATATTAATGTATAAATACTTAATGTATAAATACTTGCACCATAAAATGAATTATATTGTGATTTTTAGTTAATATTTTTCTTAAATAATTAACTTCAAGAGATTAAAAGATGCAAGATCGCCTATCGTAAAGCGATTTTGTAGAAAACACAACTATCAACAACCATAACGTATCGACTTATGGACCTAATAGGAATCAATTGTCGGTACGTGTGATATCATCGTAGGATTGCATAGTGCAAATAAAACTTAGCACGAAGGCAATGAGCATCGCGATTGGAAGGATCAACATCGCAAACGCAACGTTTGTTCGGCAATTTATAGTTCGCATACCATGGAGAGAGTGCAAAATAACTTGCGCTGCTCACACAAAGCTACGGTACGTGGTATTTGTTAACCATGAGTGGTATAAATTACCTCGAACCGTTGCGCAACATATGCGATCTCTCCTTTCTCAGATGCCGGCTACTGACCAGACACGTTGGCCTGAAGTTCGATTTCTTAATTTGACCTCGAGAAGATGTGTGCGCCAAAGACGCACGCCGATCTCGCTTGGCTCGATTTCAATTTTGTGGCAAATTTGGTGGCCGAGTAGTAGTCTACTTGTCAATCAAACGTTAAATCGTTTTACTTATCGGCACATTCGAAGTATCAAGACAGTATCAAGATAACTATCCAAAAAGAAGAATCTAAAAATTTGAAACTGCAATTTTATACAAGATTTATACAAATTCAAAGCTATACTAATTTAAGTTGAAAAGAAAAAGTGCATGCTGTTTACGATGCTAAAGATTAATTATTGTTTAAATAGCTACGCTATTGGAATATCAGACGTTATTCTATTATATACAGTATGAAAAAAATTGATCGATTATCGATTGTGATCTCGATAAAATCATGAACAATTTTTGAACGGTTCGTGAGATCAAATTACAATTTCTTAAGAATGTAAAATCATGCAGTGCAGACATAAAGGATCGCCTTTAATCACAATGGTGCGATAAAAGCCAATTGAATATCACTTATCATACTCTAATTACCGGTAATTGTACAAGCGATGCTTAACGGCTCATTGTTTCCCTCTTTACTGAATGTAAGAAGTCGTTCATTATACTCGTTACATAACTCCCAGTTAACTTACATCGTAATCTTCGCAGACTCTGGTCTTTACTGTCTGCTATTACTTTACTGCTATTACTCTACCAATTCCGCGTATCGGAAATGATGTTATTGATAAACAAAATTTTTTATTATAATTTGTATAGCACATATTTTTTAAAAAAATAACAGTAAAGAAGATTTGAGAATCTTTTAAAAAGGACATGCAAATTCGAGAAGTAGAAAATAAATCTATAAAATATCTAAGATTATCATAAAATAAAGATTATCATAAAATATGAGTAATCTGAGATTTCTGTGAAATCTAAACACTGTGAAATGTAACTGTGAAATGTAAACATTGAAGATTCATTCTAAAGCATCTTTCTGCGTTTCTAAAGTTCAACTTTTACGATTCTTCTATCGCTTTGTTTTCTCAAAGAAATTTCACACTTTCTTCTTCAATGATCTAAAAAAAGAATTGTGCCACACAGAAAAAAAAACTCAACGAATTTTTTTTTTCTTTCGTTAAATTTTGTTCTATAAATCTTATCACATTGCACAGTAATAATACAGATGCAAAATAAACTAACATTATTTCCGGTCCGTAACAAATTTAAAAATTCCCGACGAGTGGATACGGACTACGAATCATTTGTGCGAATCATCTGTTCATCGCTATTACCGACCATTCATCTCGCATGGAATATAACCACTATAATGTAAATTACATGATCGCTTCCTTCGCTACGAAAGCTGAAGCCTGTGGTTAAAGTTCGATACCGAGCGATCCCCCCCTTTACTGCGTTCTGCAAATTACCCGCGAAGATGAGAGATAAAAGGCATAGAGCACAAGAAAAAAACATCTTGTTAAAATTCTGCATTAATAAAATGTTTTAATAGATATAGCAACATATATCTTTTAATAATCGATTTGTCCCATCGTAATTTTCATATTCACATAATTTAAAGCGAACCGTTCCCACGTGTCACTTACGAGACAGGCGAGAAGACATCTCGAACGTGCCCGGAAGATATAGGATAGCGCGCGCGCGCGCGCGCGCGCGTGTGTGTGTGTGTGTGTAACAACACACACCAGACATTAACCACACATAACCAGATATCAACATATTTTAATCGGCCGCGGATCGACGTCCGCGTTCCTGCAGGTTACAACGAGTAGCCGCACGTAACGTCGCGGATGCGGTAACGTCGACATCGCGATTTCAGAGCCGCAGCATCCACGCGATGCAGGCATGCATACCTGCATGCGTACGCACGCCATGCACAGTTTCTCTCGATATTTCCCCGCGTTTACCAGCCGGCTCAAGTCTACCTCCCCCCCCCCCCCATAAGAGCGCAAAAGCGAAAATTCACCTCCCGACGAAGTGCAATCGCGATTTTGCAACGACTCGAGCTCGACTCGCCGCACTCGTCACGCCGCGAACACCGTACAGATGCAGCTGCATGCTTGCGCGAGAAACCATGTTGTCGTTGCTAGAAAGTCTGCGAAAAAAGCGGACAGCATCGCCCGATACGGAAAAACTTAACAATTAAGAGTAAGATCAAGTTCAACATGTACTGAAAAATCCGAGTCAAATGTAACAATGGAGTTTATCTTCTAAGATTACAGAGTCTTAAGTCAAGATGTCCATAAGAAATA